AGCAGTGCTCACGGATACTGAAAGTCCCATTAAGGAAGCCATCCCCCTGCTCCCTCATCACCAAGTGACGAAGGAGCATGGAGCCAACTTCCCGGGCCAATCAGGAAGTCGGGCAGGGTGTAATGACTCGCCGCCTGGCTTCCTGATACTGGAATGTCCGTTATCGGGATAGGCATCGGGAGCATTTGGCCGAGTACGAGTACTAGCCCAAATACTCGTTATCGGCACTGATACTAGTATGGGTACATCCCTAGTATCCACTAATCTGTTCATTGTATGTTATGGAGACCACTGTGACACAGAACACTGGGGTGACAAAAAGAGAAATGAATCAGTACAGGCTGGTTAATTCCGTATACAAAAGAGTTAAGTTGGCACATCAATCACAAAGAGGAGATCAGCCAACATGTACCATCCAGTGGAGTTGTATGCCAGAAACAAGAGGATCACCCGATGGTCTAATCGTAGGACAGGACAATCAGGAGCCATTTTTAATGTAAGCTCTTGCATAAATTTAATATCTAAGGCATTTACGAAATATAGCGTCAAATCATGCCAAAAAAAGCACACTGTTCCACAGAACAGGTTCCTAGTTTAAAAGTCTTTACGATCTAAACCTTGTGTGGCATTGTCTTTAGTAAGTTCATGAGCCATAAGTGACAGCTGCTGTGTACTTGATGTCTAATGTACCCCAATGGTACTTTTTCAGTTCCCTCTGCATGCTGTGTAATTATACAAATTAGCATCACCCTCCCTTTGCCCAATGCGAAGATGATGGCTTGGTATAAAAAGAGGACAGGGAGTTAAGAGCACGATTACATGAATACGTCAGAGAAGAAAGCCAATTACTCTACAGAGCTGACTGTCAACTCTACTAGTCTGATCTCCACACTTGTTGCTATTAACTACAAACCTATCTTGTGCTGCGAACACAAAGCCTGCTGATTAATTCGGCTTTCTGGAGTGATATGGTGGTATAAGAATATAACTAAGCATAGCAAACGTACACTGTACTGAAAAAATCAATAGCAGAAAAAAAAGATGCACAAGAAGAGGACATCCCTGCTTGATAGAGATGTGTATTTTCATTTTGAAAGGCTATGGCAGAACTACTGCAGAGATTAGTGGTTTGTACTTATACTCCACTACTGCATTGGGAAGATGCATATGAGGCAGGGAAACCATCAGTAGTAATGTAAACCCTCATAACCATCAAGGAGACAAAAGGAAAGTTCCTTGGAAGGACAGATGGAGGCAACTTCAGGGTACCAATCAAGTGACCGATCAGCGATGGATGAAATCTAACCTACAGCCAACCATTTAAAGTTTGCCTGCAGAGTTTTTTTAGGATCTTTTAATTGTGGTTGAAGAGAACCTATAAGGAATAGATTTCAGGCACAATAAATAGCATGGTGACCATAACAGACGTTAGCCAACACAACTGCTGTAGTTATACCAGCTGGGAACTCATTAGAAGGCACTGAAAATAGTGGGCTTATAAGCTTTATAAGGATTGATGGTGACATATTAGAGATACATAGCCTTACCTGACAGCGGTAAAAGATACATTATTTACTATGGGATTACACGGATATAGGGGGCATGGCGGGAGAATAGTATGGCAGGTACAGTAAGACTGGAGGGAGAATGCTATAGTCATGGCTAAAGGGTGGGAACTGGCTTTGCAGAGAGACCATTGCTGTGATGGACAGGGAGCCGGAGAGAAGTATTTTTTGTGTTTTTGTTCTCCAAATGCAAACACTGCCCTCTTGATTCAGAACTGTGCCAGAACAGTTGCAGCTTGAATGGAGAAGCACATGAATAACCCAGATAAAGCTTCATAGTAGCAGAGACAAACCTCTGGCGAAATCGGAGGCCATCCTGGACAGCAATCCCGGTTTTGCTCGGAATAATTGCTGCAGGCAAGGCACACAATCAAGGCTTCTCTCTATGTCATCCGATATAGATTGTAGAAGGAAATACAGGAAATTCTGCTGGAGCACACAGCTCTGCAAACACATATATACTACATGAGATTCATCAAGATCAACACAAGAGGAATCGGACTGCAAGGATGAGAAACGTAGAGAACGAGAGGGCAAGGGAGTCAGCTTTCAAAACACTAACCAAACATCCCCTCATACTGGAATTAAAGGATTCTAAATGAACAATACTAGGATTTAAATCTCACATATGTCTCCCTCCCCCCGAAGCACAACCAGCCCCCTGCTGGATTCAGTCCTCCCTATGCCCCCAGGGAAGGGGGGTGGTCTATGCAACAGTTTGAAATCATTCACACATAAACCTAAATAAAGGTTTCCTCATACAAACAATAGCGTTGGTACTAGTTTGTGTTATAGGACCAATGAGATCCTAAATATAACACAACGGCCTCATGCACCATTCTTCTTAGTTCTACGTCTTCAACTAGACCCTTAAAATGTGTGCTGCAAGCCCATTAGTAGCTGGAAAGAAAGAAAATGTATGGTACACTCAATTTCATATATATCACAGCAGCTAATTGGCGTGCACTTCTAAACCAAACCAGCCTATGCAGTGTCTGAGCACAGATCTACGTTCTACATGTACTACGCAGTTATTTATTCATCGCAGCATCGACATACTGTACTAGGAACACAAGAAAACCCAATCTGGATGCCACAGCGTGCTCAGATAGTTTACACATACTAATACAGGCGTGGGGTTCCTCCAATTGTGCCCTAACCCCACAAGTCATCCTCATGGGTATGGTTTGATGTGACATAAGGGTACCACCCATGTGTGTCTGTGGACCCCATAGATTCAAAAGCTTATGATACTGACATAAAAATGCAATAGATTGCCCAACACATAAAAACCACATCAACACCGAGAAGCAACAAGTGGCTCTTTGAAACAAGACAGGGTTAATCATTATGCGCTTCTCAGTTCTCTCCTCTTCTGCCATCCTTCATCTTCCTCCTTTTCACTCATACCCTTCTGTTTACCCATCTCTCTCCCTCCTTTCCCCGATTACCCTCCCTTTCCTCTCCCCCATTCCCTTTTGTTCTTCTCCTTTCATCTCCTTTCCCTCTCATCTCACTGATCCTTCCATCTCTCTTTCATGTGAAATCTCTCTCCTCTCTGGCTATCCTCACACTCCCGCCCTCCTCCCTCCTTTTTTTACCTCTCACTCTGCACTTCTTTCTTTCTCCTTCTACCCCACCAGCTCCATTTCTTTGCCCTAAGATATGGAAGTACATGTACATCGACGTGGGTTCCCAATGTTCCAAAAGCTCCGTCTGATCTAAAATGCATCCTCATTGACATGAAACAGTTTATTTCCTTCTCCATCTTTAACTTTGGTTTCCACAACACTCATCTCATTCGATTCCCTACTGTTCTTTCATTCATACATTTGCCTCTTTCCAATCCTACATCCTTGTAGTAAGGCTCTTACTTCTATACCCCCATTTCAAAAGTAAATGCTTCAACCACACATTGCACTGTGCCCCATTTCCCCATGCTGTATTCTTCTCATACAATAGCCTCCATTCTATGCAAAACCTCTCATCCTTTGCAATGCAGTACCCTGTCCCCATGTTTCTTATGCAGCACAAGTAATTCCCCCTTCTCCCTGCAAAGAACACTGCCTGCACCCCATAGTCTCTGCACGCTTTCTCCCACATAGTGCCTTTCCATACAATACTCTGTATGATTTCAGCTGTCCCAAATAATAACCTCTCAGTGCACTCTTTCCCCAAAGCAGTGTACCAATTCTGGGCTCCTCTTCTTATCACAGTACCCTAATCATGGACTACTTCCATCATTTCTTCCTAGATCTCTTTTATACATCATCCCAATGTTTCCCTCTACCCATATGAATGTATCTGTGACTCTATCCTGTGTGCCCCAATCTCATCTACCCTCATGCATCCCCTTGTGCCCCTACCTCATGTACCCTCTTAAATGCTCATGTGCCCCCATCTCATGTACCCTCATTAATGCTCCTGTGCCCCTATCTCATGTATGCTCCTGTGTCCCTATCTTACATACCCCCATGAATCCTCTTGAGCCCCTATTACATTTATCCACCTGAATTCTCCAATGGCCCATTTCATATACCCACATGCATCTTCCTGTGCCCCTTTCTCATGTACCTCCATGAATGGTCATGTGCCCCTATCTTATGTACCCACGCTGATCCTCCTTTGCCCCATCTAAAGTACCCACACTGATCCTCCTTTGCCCCTATGTACACCCATGAATCCTCATTAGCCCCATATCACGTACCTCCTTGAATCTTCATGTGTCCCTATCTCATGTACCCCCATGAATCCTTCTATGCCCCTGTCTTATGTACCCACTTCTAGCCACTTCATGCCATTAACCCACCGACTTGCCTGCACTGATATCACTTTGTATCACCTATTCATGTACCACTGATTGCATATTCCCAGTTCTCACACTAAATTTAATGTCCCCTATTCCAAATAATGTCACAATCCCTTCTCCCCAGTAATGTCACAATCGCTACAAATGTCACAATCCCTTCTCCCCCACTGATGACACAGTCCCCCTTCTCCCCACTGATGACACAGTCCCTGCTGATCTCATGTCCCCTTCTCCCTACTAATTCCATGTTGCCTTGTTCCCAGCCGATGTCACAGTCCCTTGTCCCCATTGATCTCCCCCGGGTTTCAGTATAGAAGTGTGCCATCAGTGTTTCCCAGCAATCTGCGCTCCTCTCTTTCCCTCCATGTCTCCCTCCAGGCTGCTGCTTCTCTTTCTCCCTCCATTCCTCTGTCTCTCTATTTTCCTGCCCTCCAGGCAGCTGACTTTCTCTCTCCTGCATTCCTCTCTCCTCCACCCCCTGCGCTATATTCCCGGCTACGAGCTTTCTTCCCTCTCCACTGGTAGCCTGCCTGGAAGTGGCGCTCAGCAGATCCCTGCCCCATAGCACGGTATCCATTGCTCCAGCCTCCCATCACCTCCTCCCCCTTTCTCCCGATTCCCGGTACCTTGCTGGAGTAATCCGGCTCGGAGCCCACTGATCAGGAGAAAGAGGCGGAGAGCGGCTCCGGGCTGACTCGCCATGTTCGGCACCTGCTTCACTCTGCAGCCTCTGCTCGGCGATAATCACATGCTAATCATATGCTAATACATTCAGTAGGGGGCCAGGCGAGCGAGGAAAACACGCCTCCTGCCTGCCCATCCGCGTCATGGGAGGAAGGCTTCGTGATGTCACATCGCTCTATGAACTTCTCCGACCACGTGTGGGATACAAAGTAACAATGCGGGGAGGAGGGAGAGGAAAGGAGGGAAAAGAGAACGACTCATATACACAAACGGGGGAAGCCGCAGAGGTGTAGGAGCTCAGGATTACAGAAGGTATAGGATTCGGGGAGGTATAGGAGTGCAGGATTCAGTGGACAGGTACGGGAGCGCAGGATTTGTGGAGGTATAGGAGTGCAGGATTCCGGGGAGAGGTACGGGAGCACAGGATTTGGGGAGGTATAGGAGTGCAGGATTCAGGGGAGAGGTACGGAAGCACAGGATTTGTGGAGGTATAGGAGTGCAGGATTCCGGGGAGAGGTACGGGAGCACAGGATTTGGGGAGGTATAGGAGTGCAGGATTCAGGGGAGAGGTATGGGAGCACAGGATATGAGGAGATATAGGAGTACAGGATGGAGGGGTATAGGTTTGCAGGATTTGTGAAGGTACAATAGGACAGGATTCGGGCAGGGGAGAGGGTAGGAGCGCACAATTCAAGATATCGAAGTACTGGATGGGGTTATAGGATTGCAGGATTTGTGGAGGTACTATAGGACAGGATTCAGGGGATTAAGGAGTGCATAGTTTGTGGTGTGGGGGTATAGGAGTCAGGATTTGCGGAGATATAGAAGTACAGGATGGGGCTATAGGATTGCAGGGTTTGGGGAGGTATAGGAGTGCACACCCTGTGCTTGACTGTCATCAGCTCTGAGTTGGAGCAGCACTGTCTCCCTGCACTCCACCCAGTTCACATCTAAACATTTTGTTTTGCATTTTCCAAAGAGTGACAATGCTCAACACGGAGAATCATATTATCTTCAAAGGTGCTTCCTAACACCTGAGCATTGTGTCATTTGTAGCTCGAAAAAGTACATGCAATTTTTTGGACAGAATTGCAAGTCTTTGGTCCCGTAGTTTTCAATGGGAGTGTCTGAAAAACATCCATTGTTACATCTTTTCCCCTAACAGGCGTACTACTAGCTAAAAACCCCAAAACAACTTCAAAATAGCCTGAAAATGCTGATGTTCAATTGTGAATGGGGGGCTAAAAGTATCCATCAGACTGGGCCTCCATTATGACCCCAGCATAGGTGGCATTCCGCTGCAGCCACAATCCACCATCTATGGGGAGACAGCAGACTGCTAGAGAAGTTTAAAGAAGGTTTTTTAAGAGACACTGTCACCTTGCCTATGCAGGACAAAGTGACAGGGTCTTTGCAAAGGCCCCCCCCTGACCCAACGTTATACTAACCTTAAAGCGGAACTACGACCTTCTATCCCTAACACCCGAGGAAGGTGCCATCTTAGCCTCTATTTGGATTGCAGTTGCCATGGTGCTGCTTGAAAGTTTGGTTTGAGAGCTGAAATAAAAACACACTGGCATTTTGACAGTTGGCATGCCTTGAAAGTACTTGTTTTAAGAAATATCAACTACTTGCCCCCCGCCGGTTGTATATAAAAGGGGCGGACGGCAAGTGCTTTACTGCGTGTCACGTACATGTACGGCTTCTTTTTTTTTATATGCTCGCATGCGCCCAAGCAGGACACAGTAAACGTTTTAAACAGTCGGTAATGGCTGTAACATACAAGTGTTCACGCGATCGCTCGTATGGTGCAGAGGAGCGTGCACCCCCCCACACACACCACCACCATTGTCACTGTCCCCCGCTGTTACTGTGATGTCACCAGTCCACCGACACACTTGTTTTCAGCCACGGTTGCGATGAAAGAAGATGCTGTGAAGGGGAGCAGACAAGATGACTATATGGGAGTCAGGAAGGGCCCTTGGCAAGAGGGCATGGTAATTTTGCCCTGCAGGGGTGACACTGTCTCTTTAAACTCAACTGGACAGCCTTGAGTTTGCTAAGGGCAGGTTCACACCATCTTCCGGACCTGATCTGGAATGTAGTGCATCGCATTTTACCGCATTTCAGAGCATTTTTTTTTTAGATGAGATCTGGATGTGGTGTGAATGGGCCCTCGAGCTCCGTGTATCATAAACTATTGTTATTTTATCATAGGATACTGTTCTAACCTTTTTTTGCATTTTAATGCTAATACCTCGTTCTGCCACTCCCTGTCTCCATGCACATTTGATGCCATTACAATTGGCATTGCAAGTGCGGCACACTGTTTTGTGCATGGATGTGATTGTGCTCAGTGCATAGCAAGTGTAAATGGGTCCTTACGATGATGACTGTATATGAGGGGATTTTTCTCACTTTCAATACATTTTACCCACTTCCTAAAAGTTTGGTCTTTTAGACCAAAAACATTGTATTCTTTTTTGGCAGCTACTTGTCAGCATCCAATTCCTCTTGTCACTATCTTCACTATGCTGAATTTTTGTGCTTTGGGTTTATATCAGCATGAACAGTGTGGGATGATGAAGTTTACTCGTCTGGTTGCACTGCTGGGGGGTGAATGTTTTCTCTAGGCCATTTGCAGGTACACTTGGAGTTCCAAGGCAAATGTGTGTTGTAGGACACAAAGATAGGAAGTGTCATTTTGTCACAGCATTCTCTAACATTTCATGCAAGCTTCATTGCTTAATATTCTTATTGGTTCATAACTTTCACTGCATAGATTGCTACTACAATGCAATAGTAATATATGATACAAGTTAAAGAGACTCTGTCACCATCCAATACTTATTTAGATAAACATTCACATAACCATGCCAGGTTGCTGGGTTTTTTGTTTTTTTTTAATCTTTGCGCCTGGATGTGTAGTTGAGCTCTTATACTTGAAATTATATACAGGGTATACTGTATAGCATATTACAGTCACTTGTCAGACTATATGCCCTTGATATGATTTCAAATATAAGTGCGTCCTTTCAGATCAGGAAAAGGTTTTAGGACCTTCAAAGGGGTTCCTTTAGAATCCCCTAAAATTGTTGGCTGTGGCCTATTCAAAGCTTGTGATCAATATATAATTTCTGGACTGTAAAAATAGCGTGTCAGTCAAGATACATGGCTAGGGAGGGTAAAGTTTAGAAATCCATTCCATTTTGTGATTCCAGTGAGGAAATACACCCTCACACTGGCGGAACTACCAGAGTCGCAGCGGTCGCAATTGCGACCGGGCCCTGGCATTCTGCCACTTGGGGGGGGCCCAGCGAAGAAATGCACTGCCCGAGTGCCGTGGCCAGGGGGGGCCCGTCACCCGGTGGCATAGCATGGGGGGGCCGTCACCCAGTACAGTATTATAACGTGGGGGCCCGTGGCCCAGTGAGATTCGGTCCGGGACTCCGGCGCCAGCAATGACCCCCTCCGTCCTCCCCCCCTCTCCCATTGCAGTTGGACTCGGCTGCCGGAAGCTCATCACACAGCGTCGGGTGCAAGGCAGAGGAGGAAGTACCGCCGGTGCGGGACCGAGGCAGCGCGCAAGGTGAGGAGAGAGGGGGGCCCATAATACGAGTGGCAGGACCCCATAATACCGCAGTGGCATTGGCAGGACAGGGGAATGAATGGTGGGGGGCGCCGGGTGCCATCCGCTTGGCCGCCCTGCAAGTGAGGTAGAGAGCCGGGTGTAATTGTAGCACAGGCAGCGCTGGGGCCTCGGCTGGGAGCACCCAGAGAGTTGCTTCCAGAATACACAGCCCACTGCCTCTCCCTGCTGCATGGTGTTCCAGGCTGGAGGACAGTTAGATAAGTTATGTTGAATGTTCTGTGAGTTGTTTGTAGTCCTGTATAGCTGATGGAACTAATCTGCATTTCTGTATAAATTATTACTGGGAGTTGTAGTCCTCTATAGCTGGTGCCATTCTGCATTGCAGTAGTGCAGAATGGCATCAGCTATAGAGGACTACAAGTCCCAGCAATGCATTATAGTGGGGGGATGCTTGGGGTTTTCTGCATAGCCAACTCTTATTAAAATGTATTGCTGGGACTTGTAGTTCCGCATAGCTGGTGGTATTCTGCATTGCCACTGGCGGAACTACCAGGGTCGCACTTGCGACCGGGACCATTTGAGCATTTTGGCTGGAGGGCCACATGGTCTTCACCAAGAATTCCCCAGAAGCAGTTTGGGGTGTAAAGTGTGCTGGTTCCAGGTCGGCCTCGCTAGCAACAGCTGGCTTCCAGGACAAAAAAATGAAGCAAATGGGTAGAATAATTACACGGCATTGTATGGTATTGTAACCAGAAGACCATCTGGAATCACAAATCAGAATAACAAAGGACCAAAAAGGATCAGGAAAAACCTGACCCGGTGCACTGAGTGAAATAAATATTTGCATCAGTCATTGAACATTTAATAATAAGAAAAATAAATAAATAAGAAACAAATAGTAAGCAAGTGTGTGGCACCATATAAAGTAAATATTTGTAAATACAAGCATAGATATGAAAAGTTTAATTCTAGTTGCTACGGACAGGCTGCAAAACAACTGTGCTTATGAACAGGACATATGGTAATGACGATAACGACCTGGTAGAATACACACAAAATGTACCAACTATTAAATAAAAAATGAGATAGAGAGGCTTCAAATTTTTCATGCTGAGATAATGGCCCAGGCCAATTCCCAGATTGACTTCCCTTATCCCACCCACCACTGAAATAAAGGCCCTGCCACCTGAGTTCAGCGACATTCTGAACGTGAACGCAATTGCTTCTGTCTGCAAGAAAAAAGCTTTCAATTTAAGTAAATGCATAATAGGAAGATGTCATTTTCCCCAAATTGTTCTTGCCAAACACTGCCTCTGGCTACCACCAGGTCATAGACTGTATTTAATGAAAAGATCAGCTAATCTTAATTCATGGACAGATGTGTAATTAGGGTGTCCTTTTTACACCCCCAGGCTTTTCTTTTTTTAATTACAACCCTCCTACTGTTTAATGTTAACCACAATGCCTTTCATT